TTTTTTTTTTTTAGATTCCATATAGTTTTTGATTTAAACCAGGATCATGCATTGCATTTGGTTGTTAAATCTTTTAAGTCTTCTAGTCTTAATTTTTAAAAAGTTGACTTTTTGAATTATACAACGGAAATTAGCACTAAAAGAGAAGCTGACCGTTGTTACATGTGACCATATGGATTAATCTCAAAAGCGTTGAGTCAAAGAAGCCAGACATAAAAATGTACCTACTGTGTGGTTCCATTTATATGAATTTCAGGAACAGGCAAAATTAATCAATGGTTATAGAAGTCAGCACTGTCGACTGGGAGTGTGGGATTGACTAGAAAAGAGCTTTCTCTCTAGGGTGATGGAATTAGTCTATGGTGGTGATCACACAGGTGTCGGAACTCATCTAATTGTACTTTGTAGGTCTATGCAGTTCATTGTATGTAAATTTCAAAAAAAAAGTCATGGAATAATTCTGTGTAGTTAGGTTGCAAATTTGATACATGGTTAGGTAAATTTCAGATTGCTTTCAGTTTTAGGGTTTGCTTTTTCCCCTTTTTAAAATTTTTTGAATAAATACCACAAGAATAGCATATGGGCCAATGGAACAGAACAGAAAGTTCAGAATGGTCCACTGATTTTCAACAGAGACAATTCAATGAGGAGAGAGAGAGTCTCTTCAGCAAATGGTGTAAAATATATAATGCTTTTTCAAAAATTAATCACAAGCAGTTCATGGGTTTTGGGTTTTTTTTTTTTCTGATGGATCTTATGAGTGACACAGAGACCTAGACTGCAGCCTAATGTGATAATAAAATCTAAACTCTAGATTCCACTCATTCATTCTCATTCATCAGTTATTTATTGAATGCCTACTGTGTATGTAGCAAAAACCATGACGTCCCTGTTGTGAAGCTGACATTTTCGTTGGAAAACCAGATAAGAACATAGAAGTGAAACGAAAAAAAACAAAGTAGTTTAAAATTGTGGCATGTCCTGAAGTAAACAAACAAGGGACAAGAGTAGAAAATTAAGGTGACAGGGTGTTGATGCAAACCTCTCTCCAAGGAGGGGATATTTTAAGTTGAGACCTAAAGACTGAAGAACCACCCAAGGGGCAAGTGCAGGAAAAGATCTCAGGCAAAAAGCTTGAGAACCAGTAAAGCTTGGAGCTGGTGAGAAAGGGAGAAGTGATGAGGTCACTGGACAGGGCCAGCTCCTCCAGAGCACACAGGAGCCACCAGAGATTACAAATGAGGGAGTGATTAGAGACCAGCTAGGTTTTAAATTACTTTCTGCTGTGCGGAAAATTGGTTGGAAAAGGCCAAAAAGTGCAAGCACTAAGTTAGACTTTCACTGCTTTCTGCCACCATTTGTCTTTTCTTTCAAAAATTCATTCCTCAGCATTCAAAGACATGATTTTCATCTACCTCCAGTTTCTGCACTCCCCAGCAGACAAACTGAAGTCTCACCTTATCTATTCTAGTGGCTCAGTTTCCAAGTAAACCACAGACTGAGGCCTTAGCTTGGGAGCAGGTAAATCAAGGAGCGCGCAAACCTTCCCTTAAGTGACCAACCTGAAAGGAATTTAGGTCGGCAATTTGGGTGAAGCCATAGTCAACAGGCTGGCCTGGGAGTTGTGGGATTTTTGGAAAATTTGTCTGAAAAGCTGCTTTAGTAAAACTTCACAAGACCTGAGCTACAGCACAGGAGGAAACTGGATTTGGAAAACAACTAGTCAATCTTTGCGTGGACTCAGTAACTTTTTCAATTGTGCTTCACTCTGAAGCTTACCACGGTCTTACCAGATAGCACCTGGCCTGTTCCGCGGTGAATCAGCAAAATACTGCAGAAAGTCGTTGTAAGAGCACTGACGTGGGGGAGAGGAAAGCAGCACAAAAGGCGATGTTAAGTATACCTGTAACACTATTTTATTTAAAAAATTAAGTCCTAAGGCAAGTGTAACAAATGTTAATTGTCAACTCTGGGTGGTGGTACATGGTACATAGACATTTGAATTCTTTGTACTTTTCTGTATTTTTTAATGTCTGAAAATAATGATAAATCATAAAAATCACAGTTTTCCAAAAACACAAAAGCACATTGATCTGGATAGTATCACATCTCTTCCAGACATTGTTTTCATAAGTGATTAGACATGTATTAGATTGAGGCTCCCAGTCTTCAGCCTCAAATATTTGCAGAACATTGTAAAAATAAACAGGAGGAGGACTTCCCTGGCGGTCCAGTGGTTAAGAGTCCACGCTTCCACTGCAGGGGGCATGGGTTTGACCCCTGGTTGGGGAAATTCTGCATGCTGTACGGTGCAGCCAAAAATAAATAAATAAATAAACGGGAGGAAGGACTGTAATCCAAACGAGTGAATATACCACCTCATCCTGACCTAGCTTGCTAGAGGCATGCATATGCCTGTCTTCTGGGATGATGAAGAATGAAATCATTAGTGCAAAAACTAGTTAGATGAGAGAAACAAGCCTACCATCTGGTTCAGTTGATTAGACTACTGATGAAATTGCGGTCAAATGCATGGATTTCTGTCGCCCTGTTAGGTTTACTGTTTTGTGGCTGAACCCTTCCCTTATCCAACACCACCACTTTTCTCAAAGACGGGTACCAACTTGTCATACGCTACAAAGAACAGTGTCCACTAGCACAGCTGGACAATAATTTGGCATTTGTGTTAAGAGCCTTAAAGATGGGTGTGCCATTCCCATTAAAAGGACATGCAATGCACTGAGGACACGATATCACACATGTACTGCTCCTGTGATGCAGCACCTGAATGTAATTATGAGGAAACTATCAGACAAAACCCAATTAAGCGACTTTCTACAACTGGCCAATTCAAATGACTAGTACTCTTTAGAAACGTCAGTATCAGGAAAGACAAAGTCTGAGGAACTAACTATTCCGTGTTAAAGGAGACTAAAAAGACAAGGTAATTAATACAATAGGTGATGTTGGATTGGATCCTGGATCAGAAAAAAAAATATTGCTACAAGGAATACTAATGGAACATATGGCAAAATTTGAATATGGACTTACTAAATTTCCTGAATTTGACTGATATACACCCTTAGTCTTATGAAACACACACTGAACTATTTATTGACTCATGAAATTTTTTATATATATATATACATATATACATATGAAAACTGATAAAGCAAATATAGCAAAATATTAACAGTTGGTGAATCTAGGTGATGGGAGTTTATCACACTATTCTTACAACTTATATTTGAAATTTCTTCAAAATAAAAAGCTAGTAATAAAAATGTGTGTACCCTTTGGCCCATAATTCTATTATTAGGAATCTATCCTAAAAATAAGTTTTCAAAGTATTTTGCCTTTATAAAATGTGGGCTCGAATTTCTCCCTTAATCTTCTGAATAATTTTCTGTAAATGGATGTAATGATGTTGAAAAATGCACATGCTCATGCAGAATTACAAATAAATTCTGTAGGTAGTCCACCCTAAAGAACGTGGAGCATAACTCCTCACTCCTTAAGTGTGGGCTGCACACAGTACATCTTCAAAAGAGTAACGTATGGAAAGGGGAAACAAAGAGTAACTTTCCAGTGGAGAAACCTGACAAGCACTGCTTCAGCCAAGTGATCAAGGTCAACACCAACTGTCAAAAACCAGGCTGACAGCATGAACCCTTGATATGTGATGAAAATGGCACTTTCCCTATGTGCTCTTCCTCCCAAAACCCACAACCCCTGACCAATTATGTGAAGCTCCCCAGAGGTGCATCTATAATATACCTAACAGTATCCCTCAAACTGTCATGGTCAACAAAGAGGGAAGTTTGAGCAACTGTCACCCCGAGAAGAACTTACGAGGCAGGTCAACTAAATGAAAGGCGGTATCCGGGATGGGGTCCTGTAACAGTAAAAGGGCATCAGGGGTGTCACCGAGCAGGACCCTGTGAGGCCTTCCCAGAATAGACCCTCACCCATGTCTTCCGCCTGCCCTTTGTCTGTAGAAAAACTTCAGTCAAGGAATACATTTAATCAGACAAGTGGGAAAATGCAGAAAGGCAAACAGTCAAGCAAGCCAAAATAATAATACGTTAGCCATTACACAGTCAAGGACCTTTAGCTCTCCCTCAGGGCTATACAGTTAAAGTTCTGAGCCGGGTCCTTCCAGCTGTTCTGCAGACACTGAAGCCCCCACCAGGTGGGAGAGGTTAGCTGCTCGCTGCCCACAGCACACAGGCCTCAGACCGGTTGGAACTAGAAGGTTGATGATGCGGATTCCCGATTACGTCACCAGCAACCAATCAGAAGAAGCTCCACGAGCTAATCGTGCCCGGCTCCTGGAACACTGTTAGACTCCTCACCACGCCCTCCAGGTGGGACCCACTGTTCGGAGGGCATTAGCCTGCCGTGGCCCCGTGCCTCGCAAAGCAATAAAGCTATTCCTTTCTACTATACCCAAAACTCCGTCTCCAAGATATAACCCGGCACTGGAGTACAGAGGCCGAATCTCCGCAACAGCGGGAAACTAAGGAAACTGGTTAAACTGTGGGCTTTTGTCAACACATTAGCCTCGGTTAATGAACTATAACAAATGTACCCCAGAAAGAGAGGAGGCTAACAATATGGGAACCTGAGCTCAATTCTCCGTAAATGTAAAGCTGCTCTAAAAATAAAACCTGTTAAGTAAAATATTGACGCATTTGCTTCCATTAGGGCCAGGAAAGTAAAACAAATTCTGGTTGGCAGAAATAAACTTTTTTAAAACGCAAGGGCTCCAAGTCTCAGTTAAAGTCAGGGGCAGAGGCACGACAACCGACGTTCCCTCGCGCCTCGGAGGCGGCTGCTGGGGAAAAGCACCGGGAGAGGTCACGAGACATCACGAGTGAGCGACAGGAGGCGTGGCGGGGCGTGACTTCCGGGCCGCTCTCTCCCCACTGGCTGGGCTGCCCGGCGACCTGCGCAGGAACCGGAAGCCGCGCTCACAAAACAGAAGAGGTTGGAAGCGCGTCTAGCTTTCGTCTCCCGTTCGCCCGCGTCGGTTCTGAGCTTCGGCCGGTCACCCGCTGCCTCCCGTCGCTTGCACCATGGCCCTCAGCGATGCCGACGTGCAGAAGCAGGTGAGCGCCGGGCTGGACCCCGAGAGGCGGGCGGATGCCGCCCCGGGCCTGGGGGAGCTCCGCGGCGGCCTCGTTGGCCAGATCTCCCCGTCCCCGGGACCCCGCCTCGGGGCTGTGCGGGTCGGGGCCGCGTCGGGCTCGCGGGCGAGCGGCCGGCCTGGGGTCGCGGCGTTGCTCGGCGCTTTGGAGTTCGCGGGCGGCGGGCGTTGACCGCCCAGGCCCGGACTTCGGGGAAGGGCACTCAGGCCGCAGTTTAGAGAACTTGTCTCTTTCTGGCTGAAGTTCTCGGAAAACCCTGACTAACGCTCACTCACTGCCTTGTGAGCCTTCTTAGATGAGCAGTACGGTGTTTTTTCCTTGGATGTTTCTAGTTCCTTTAAAACGATTCTGCACTTTATTCGTTAGGTGATATGCTGTCGGAAGCGTGGTGGTTCTTCCTTTTAGGGGATCTTAGGCTGATCATGGAGGATAACAAAAAATAGCGTCTGTGCGGCACTGTAGGAAATCTTACCGCATGCTTACAGAACAGCGCGGGTTTTGAACATTAATCAGCGCTGCGTCTGAGCTTTACTGTAGGAAAAAGGACGCAGTGCGCTCCACGTAGTCCAGCGGTCACACCCCTAGTACCAGCTCTCGTCCTCCTCCTCTTCGTTTTCCGCCTTGTTGTAATGTATTGAAAACTAGGGCTTCCCCAGTTATAATACACGGCAAAGGTAAAGCAGTGAAACTAGGCCAGAACCACGTTTTCTTTCTGTAAAATAGTAAGAACGAGGAAATGTATCGTCTGTACTCCTCCACTACGCGCGGTCCCCATCAGGGCGGTGCCTGTTTTCCCCGTATTCCCGGCAGTGACCAGGCCTGAGTATCGAGCACCAAGTAGACGTCTAGAAATCTGGGTTTCCTTCAACTTCCTGCTCTTTAGGAGTTAGTAAAATCTTAATATAGTTATTTCCTGCTTTTCGTCACAGTTGATTTCTGGAAACTACATTGCAAAGCCGAATGGTGAAACTGTCTTTAGTCCTCATGCACTTTGGGTCTAGTCAAATCTTGTTACTCTCTTGGCTGTCAGATGTCTGCTTCAGTAAAGCAAAGTGCTGATTTCTGTAAACATCACTGCTTTTAGAGCTGGGAGAATCTGCAGACTTTCATGGATTCTGAGACAAGGGGGAAGCATAGATGTTTTTCAGGCACCATTAGGTGTGGGTCAGTGAAACCCTAGGATGCTCTGTGAGATTGCACTGGAGCTGCCAAGAGTGCTAAGCCAGTCTCCTATAGGAGATATATTGTGTACATACATCAAAATGGAGTGCTCGTTCCTGTTGGTTTTTCCATCACAAGTAGGTAAATGTATTTAAAAAGAGCCCCCTAGAATCTACTAAATCTTCTTAACTCAAGGATGAACTTGGGTGCTGGAAATAAAATACTAATACTTAAATGTAAAAAGAAAAAGAAAAGAAATCCTGGGTTTCCTGATTTCTTCCCCACTGTATTAAAGTATTTGTGTATGTTGCTTTTTTTTTTTGTCTGAGGAGTATGGTTATTTCATCAAATTTTCAAAAGAATCTTGACTCCAGAAGTGTAGAACCCAGTAGCTTTAGCAGGAAGAAAAGTACATTTTAAGGGCAGATTTTTTTGCCTTAAGGGTGGAGTTAAATGTCCTGAAGGGGTTGACTTTTCTCTTGTTGGAACTCCTAAAGGCAGAATGTGTTCTTGTTGACTGTAAACGGGCTTCTCTGACCTGGGTTAAAATGAGTGTGTTTTGCTCTAGGCTGTGCTGATCTCGTCAGTTCTGGTAGCAGAGGGTCCAGCACGGGAGAGAGAGGCAGATAATGCAGGTTTTTCACCTCTAGAGGCCAGTGTCTTGTAGCATTTATAAGCACCTGAGTTGATTACTGTCTTTAAACTACTTTTAAAGTTCCAGACAGTGCAGTGTGAGTTTGATCTGAGCTTGTGACAATTCCATTCCTCAGCACAAACAGAAACACACACACAGGCACAGATGTGTGGAGGCTGATCCATTTAGCAAGTTCACCATGTAACAGTGTAGATTTGGGTTAGGCACCGCAATTTTTCAAGGCTTGAGATTTTATAAGTATTGTATTACCTATAAAACGGGCTCGGATTGTCATCATTATTTTGGCTCCTCACTGGTAGGGAGCTCCTAAGAATTTTGACAAAAAATAAGTCTTCCCTTCTAAAACCGTGCTGTGTGTTTTCCTCAAGACTTTGATGCAATGAGGTTGTATTCTTTTTTTTTTTTTTTTAAAGCACCTGCTCTTTATTTTCCCTTTTCTTTTTTTTTTTAAAATATATTTATTTTTTGGCTGCGTTGGGTCTTCATTGCTGCACGCGGGCTTTTCTCTAGTTGTGGCAAGCAGAGGCTACTCTTCGTTGCAGTGCGTGGGCTTCTCATTGCAGTGGCTTCTCTTGTTGCGGAGCATGGGCTCTAGGCACACAGGCTTCAGTGGTTGTGGCTCGCGGGCTCTAGAGCGCAGGCTCAGTAGTTGTGGTGCACGGCCTTAGTTGCTCCGCGGCACGTGGGATCATGGGCTCGTAGCCGTGTCCCCTGCATCGGCAGGCAGATTCTTAACCACTGCGCCACCAGGGAAGTCCCTAGGTTGTATTCCTTATTATTTTTATTTTTTTTAATTTATTTTTATTTTTATTTTTATTTTTTGCGGTACGCGGGCCTCTCACTGTTGCGGCCTCTCCCATTGCGGAGCACATTGCGGAGCTCCAGACGCGCAGGCTCAGTGGCCTAGCCGCTCCGCGGCATGTGGGATCCTCCCGGACCGGGGCACGAACCCGTGTCCCCTGCATCGGCAGGCGGACTCCGAACCACTGCGCCACCAGGGAAGCCCCCTAGGTTGTATTCTTAACTCACTTTTTAAAATTGTGTAAAACACATTACGTGAAGTTTACCTTTTTAACCATTTTTTGGAGTATAGTTGCCTTACAACGTTGTGTTAGTTTCTGCCACACAACGAAGTGAATCAGCTATATGTATGCCCATATCCCCTCCCTCTTGGACCTCCCTCCCACCCACCCCCATCTAGGTCACCACAGAGCACCAAGCTGAGCTCCCTGCGCTATACAGCAGGTCCCCACTAGCTATGTCTTTTACACGTGGTGGTGTATGTATGTCAAACCTAATCTCCCAATTCATCCCACCCCCCCTTCCCTCTCTGTGTTCACACGTCCATTCTCTACATCTGTTTCTATTCCTGCCCTGCAAATGGGTTCATCTGTACTGTCTTTCTAGATTCCACACGTATGCGTTAATACGCGATATTTGTTTTTCTCTTTCTGACTTACTTCACTCTGTACGACAGACTCTAGGTCCATCCATGTCTCTACAGATGACCCAATCTTGTTCCTTTTTATTCCATTGTATATATGTACCACATCTTCTTTATCCATTCGTCTGTCGATGGACATTTAGGTTGTTTCCACATCCTGGCTATTGTAAACAGTGCTGCAATGAACATTGGGGTACATGTGTCTTTTTGAATTATGTTTTTCTCAGGGCCTTTTTAACCATTTTTAAGTGAATGATTCAGTAGTGTTAAGTATATTCACATTCTTGTGAAACAAATCTTAACTCACTTTTGTACAGACTCAAAAAAGTAGTTGGGGTACCTCAGAAGGCTTGAAACTCCCAACAGATTCTCACTCATTCACAAATGTTTATTGAGCACCTACTGTGGGGAAGTAAACCCTTAAGCCCGTGTCCTGGGTTTACGGTGGTGTTTACCTTTATGCAGAACAATTAATACGTGAAATGAGTTAATAACCTAGAGGCTTTTTTTAAGCTGCTTTTTTTCCTTTTTAATTCATTATTCCTTTCAGGTAGAGCCCCTATGAAATGAAACTACCAGTAAGTTTGATTAGCTCTGTTGCTTGTATATTCATTTGGGTATATTTTATATCTGCCACTAGAGACAGTACTCTGTTTTTGAGTATAAATTAGGTCAGCCACCCCAAGCCCCATTCAGAAGACTTTGGGGACTTCATTCTCCAATTGTAGCCAGAGATCTAAAACCCTTTAGCAAGTTCCTAGCCTTATAGCTTAGTTGAGGAGAGGCACAGGCAAGCAGGCAATCAGGACTGTGTGTTTAGGCGGAGAAGTGCAGAGTGTCCTGGGTGCAGATAAGTGAGAGGTTCAGGAGATTTTCCAAAGGAGGTGACAGTTAAGTGAGCTGAGGCTCAAGAAGATAGCTGGGCTGGGGGTGGGGGAGTGTTCCAAGTGGATGGAACAGCACGTTTGAAATCTCCAAAGTGGAAAGAATGGTGAGCTCAAGGAACTGAAAACCTGAAATGAGAGTAGCATGGGGACCTCCCTGGTGGCACAATGGTTAAGAATCTGCCTGCCAGCGCAGGGGACACGGGTTTGAGCCCTGGTCCGGGAAGATCCCACATGCCACGGAGCAGCTAAGCCCGTGCGCCACAACTACTGAGCCTGCGCTCTAGAGCCTGTGAGCCACAACTGCTGAGCCCGTGTGCCACAACTACTGAAGCCTGCGCACCTAGAGCCCGTGCTCCGCAGCAAGGGAAGCCACCGCAATGAGAAGCCCGTGCACCGCAATGAAGAGTAGCCCCCGCTCGCCACAACTAGAGAAAGCCCGCGCGCAGCAATGAAGACCCAATGCAGCCAAAAATAAAATTAATTAATTAATTTTTAGAAATGTAGGATGACAGGAACTAGGAGTCTGAGGATTGGCCAGTGGTGGAGGTTACATTTCATATGATGCTGGAGAGGTGAGCAGTGACCACATCGCAGACCTTCTAAAATCTCTGCACTGTATCCTAAGGGGGGGTGTGGTACGTGATGAGAGGGACATTTGTAAAGGATCTTGCTGGTTGCCAGGCAGAGCTGGTTAGCAAGGGAACAAGACTGAGGGCCCGGAGAAGATATGGAAGCTGTTGCAGTAATTCCGCCAGGAGATGATGATAGCAAAGATGAGATTGTGGCTGTGAAGATGGAGAGAGATGGACAGATTAAAGAGGTGTTAGAAGAGAGAGCTCGTAGGACATGGTGATTGGACCTGGGCCCTGAGATACGGGAGGGGACGACTTGGTGTTGGTGCTGGTCATCAAGGCAGAGGTCAGGGGGGACGTGGGAGCAGAGCCGTCAGTGTTCCTTACAGAGCGTGTGGAATTGCACTTGCTGCGGGTAGGGTCTCCTGGAGCAGCCGCCCGGGAGGCGGAGGAAGAAGCGTCTGGCCCCAGAGGAGGCCGAGGAAGAGAGGAGGAAGCGGCGGCAGCAAAGGGCAGCTCGTGCTCAAGCAGGGTGGGGCCGGTGCACCGGGAGGCCTGCAGGTGCAGTGAGAGGGGGGCGAGGAGATGGCTGCCATCTTACGAGGGATTTCGCTGCGCTGGGGGGAGGGGCGTCAGGCTGCAGTGCCTCGGGAGTAGGAGGCCCTCTGGCACACACGCCAGTAGAAATGGGGGGGGAGGGCGGTCTGGCTGGAGGAGGCCGGAAGTAGAGGAGGATGTGTATTCGGTCCTTCCTCCCCATAGACTCCGAGTTCCCTGAGAGTAGGATAATGGCCTATTTACCTGTGTTGTTGAATATTGCATCTGGCCCATTTGCTGGAGTAAATTCCAGATTGTAAGTTACCTGAGATTGTTGGAAGAATCAGAAAACATAGATATTTTTTCTTGTCATATTCAAAAATAACCTTTTCCTTCTCCTTATAGATTAAGCACATGATGGCTTTTATTGAACAAGAAGCCAATGAGAAAGCAGAAGAAATAGATGCAAAGGTGAGGTTCCACTTCCTAGGTTTAAGAAGTTATCAAAGTTTCGTACTGTCTTGCTTTGCTAATTAGTACTTAGTAAAATTGTTTAACAGAGCATTCATTGCATAGGACCAATAAGAATTTCTTTAAAGTTAAAAGTAAATTTTCCTTTCTAAACATTCTTTAATTTTTTTGCCTGTGCCACGTGGCACGCAGGATCTTAGTTCCCCGGCCAGGGATCGAGCCTGTCCCCCTGCAGTGGAAGCATGGAATCCTAACCACTGGACCACCAGTGAAGTCCCAAAATTCTGATTGTCAATAAGCGTCCTGAAATTTTATGGTAGGGATTAGAAAAGTAAGGGATGGATTAATTTTCTCATGGAATCCAAACTCAGACATGGAGCAACCGCGGCTAAATGATAGCTGGTCAGGGGAGGATGTAGTATTTTTTCACTGTTATGTTGCTTTTTCATTTGTGCTTTTGCTGCAAAAAAGGTAAAATATGCAGTTTGGCGTATGTAAGGCATAAAATGAAAGCCCCTGTCCGTCACGAAGGCGGCAGTCAGCATCTAGAAATTTTACAGGTATTTCGAGTTGCACAGTGTTTCTGTACAGTATATAAAATTGTTCTTTTCTCTAGGTATAATCATAGTAGGTCAGAATATATCACCTAATACTTTATTTTCATTGTCCTTTTACTTTATTCTACAGTGGTTACATTTGTTACTTAACAGTAAAGCCTTAAAATTGTGTGTGCCTGGTATCCTAGGGCCAAAACTAAACCTTTGAACTGTTTGAGTAATTTATCATCTAAGAAAGAAAAGACTTATTTTGCCTGCCACTGAAGTAAAACAGTTGAGAGGGTATCGTTTAATATATATATTATATATTATATTAATGTCAGGTGTACAGCATCATGATTCAGTATTTTATAGATTATACTCCATTTAAAGTTATTACAAAATAATGGCTGCATTTCTCTGTGCTGTACAGTATATCCTTGTTGCTTAATATTGTTTTGATGGCCATAGGAGCACTGCAGTTTCTCGAATGGCTAGTTTCCTTATTTCTCTCTGGGACAAATACAGAACTTCTATTTCAGTTGGTAAATGCATTTCTATTTAAAGTAGTCTTATCTCGTGTGATAGGTATAGAAATAAGCTATTAGGCATTTATTTTAGAATTTGAAAGTTCCAGTGTCTGTGCCAAGCATTAAACATCTGAATCAGTAACTTTACCTTGCTTCCAAAGTCATAATTTCTTACTGCCTGAAAATCACAGACGGCTGATATACTAAGATACCCTTTGTAAAAAGTGACTCTTCAATAATTAACACTAATAAAACTAATAACTCAAATTTATGTAGTTTATAATTTTAAAAGGACTGTTAGATTTTGACCTACAAAGGAAAGAATATTATTTTTATTTTCTAATCTTATAAGGGAGGACACTTAGACTGAGATTACTTGACCAAATTTTTTAGACAGTAACTCAGATCTTCTGACTCCAAATTCTGTGTCCTTTTCATTAGCCCTCTATTAAACAGATGGATCAAATTTAAAATACATAATTTTTTTCATACACAGAATCTTCTGATTCTATTCATTGAAACTTTGTTGGTGGATACTAGATATAGAACAAGGTGAATATAAGCAACTACCCTGGTCATCAGCTGCTTAAAATAAAACTGTCAAAATCTGTATAATGAATTAATAATAATAAATTCCTTGGTAGGCAGAAGAGGAGTTCAACATTGAGAAAGGTCGTCTTGTGCAGACCCAAAGACTGAAGATTATGGAATACTACGAGAAGAAAGAAAAGCAGATTGAGCAGCAGAAGAAAATGTGAGCTTTGAAAATCACCGGCACGAGAGGGTAAAGCAGGTGCTTTGGAGTCAGGCAGTTACGGGTTCTGGTCTTAAATGGACCACTCGCTGATTAACTAACCTTGGTCAAGTTACTTCTCTTTCCTCATTTGGGAAAACGGAAGGCCCACAGGATTATTGAAAGATATAGTTGAAATAACTGATAAGAAAGTCTTGCCACTTCATAAGCATTCAATAAATATTTCCTTATCTTTGAACATAAGTGGATAAAAACCACTACATGTATTTCAGGGAGTTCTCTTTGGGGTCTGTACAAAGAGAAGTGTTTGCACATACGTAGGAGGTTGTACCTTTCTTTCTCTACGTTTGTTGTTTTTTATGCTGTAATGATTCCACTTTTCCGTGCCTTTTGCAGTCAGATGTCTAATTTGATGAATCAAGCGAGGCTCAAAGTCCTCAGAGCGAGAGATGACCTTATCACAGTGAGTAATTAGCCCCTTTAGTTATAGAATTATAAAATGTTTATTCATTTGTCTGTTACAGAGAATTCACTGGTCAGTGTTAGATTAAGGAGCTGATGAATGACTTTTAGAGAGAAAAAAAACATTTGGTCAGCAAATCATGACACTGTAGGTATTGTAACAAATACGGAAATGAAGATGCGTGTCCTGTCTTCAAGGACCTGCTGCTCTAACAGAGCATGTAGCTCCTGGGTATACAGCACGTGATGGGGGGACCACACAGTATCTGAGGGCGATGGGGACTAATAAGGCTAGAAAGGTAGGATGGAGTTACTATGGGGCCATGAGTGCAAGTGAAGAGCTTTGCTTGCTTTCAGTAGAAAGCTGTTGAAGGTTTCATTTTATTTTATGAGGAATATCATAAATAGGGTTCATGATATGAGTACGTAGACTAAACTTAACAGAGAAGAGGTTAGACAGAAAACCATTTGGGGAGTATTGTCACCCAAAGGACAGGGCAGAAACATACCACTTAGGTGAGACAGCCTGAAGGAATTTGAATTAATTCAGAAACAAGGGAAATTCCCTGGTGGTCCAGTGGTTAGGACTCTGCTCTTCCACTGCAGGGGGCACAGGTTCGATCCCTGGTCGGGGAACTGAGATCCTGCAAGCTGTGTGGTGCGGCCAAAAAAAAAAAAATTTAGAAACCAAGCGGAGGCCTCTATTTCCACTGTTACTCATTGTTATTGTGGAGGCCCTAGATTTCTTACAAAATGGAGAGACAAGTTATATAAATATTGGGAAGGAAGAAACATTTTTTTGAAGATACGACTGTATATAAAAAAATACAACATCTGATAAGAACTAGTAATTAGTTCAAAAAGGTGACTGGCTACAAAGAGAATATACAGAAATTGATAGTTTTACTACATGCCAACAGTAAGCCATTAGGAGTAAATGTTGGTGAATAGGAACTATATGGAAAAGCTATAAAACTGAAAATACTATACTTGACTAAGCAGAAGACATACCATCTTCTTAGATGACTAAAGAAACAAACTAATATTGTAAGATATTGGTTCTTGTTAGGTGAGCCTGGCGTGGTGGCAGCAAGGACTGAGTTGGGTGTCAGCGGCGACACGTTTTATAGGAGGAAGCCCCGGTCTTTGGCTACTGATTGACTCCTCCACCTCCTCTTCTTTTTTAAAAAAAATTAATTTATTTTTGGCTGTGTTGGGACTTCGTTGCTGCGCGCGGGCTTTCTCTAGTCGTGGCGAGCGGGGGCTTCTCTTGTTGTGGAGCACGGGCTCTAGGCGCGTGGGCTTCAGCAGTTGTGGCGCGCGGGCTCTAGCACGCGGGCTCTAGAGCGCAGGCTCAGTTGTTGTGGTGCACGGGCTTAGTTGCTCCGCAGCCTGTGGGATCTTCCCGGACCAGGGCTCGCACCCGTGTCCCCTGCATCGACAGGTGGATTCTCAACCACCGTGCCACCAGGGAAGCCCCTCACCTCCTCTTCTAAGGCTGACGCCAAACCCTGAGTTTCAGGCCCGGCTGCCTAGGAGGGTGGTGGATCCATTAATATGGTAGGAAGTCAGGAGGGCGGGCTCTTTTAAGAAGAACCACCAGATCACGTTGGACATTCTTTGAGGGGCCAGGAAGCCTTCAGATGGAAGTGTCTGCCAGGATGTCGAGTGTTAGGACACAGAGAGGTGACTCACTAACATAACTCCCATAACACTTAATAGACCAAACTTAATAGACCCCAGAGTAGCCAGACTTTATCTGCTTCTAAAATTGTCACAACTAAATGTCTCTCTGCTTTGGATACTAACTTGATCTTTTAGTTTTCACTCTTCTATTTTCATTTCATAATTAGCTGGGTTCCTTTGGCAGTCAGCGGTTTGGACTGCAGGGTTTGCCTGTATTGGTCCTGCATTGGTGCTCAGTGCTGTAGGAGTCTGCTGTCTAACTGGGTCTAGACCAGAGACTGTATCTATAAGGCAACCTTTTGAGTGTGACTGTAAAGAATGTCAGTACCTTGGAGACGGAATGGAGAGACCAGCCTGAAACAAAAACAGAGGCCTGGAATTGACAACACGGGCAGGAAATGGAATTGTCCAGGAGAGTGGGGAGTGTAGGAGCTGAGGCTGGAGAGAGACACTAGGGTTCAGTTGGAAGAGCCTTGAATGCCTTCTGAAGAGTGTGGGACAAATCCTTTGACCAACTCTCTTAACTCTAATAGGCATAGAGATCACCTGGAGGGCCTTGTTAAAATTCAGACTCCCGGCCCCATTTCCAGAGATTTTCTATATTCTCATCAGGAATAAACAGCCCAGAGTAATCTTGTTGCAGGAGGGCTGAGAACCACACTGCGAAATACTGCTTTAGCCTTAGATTTGTTTTGGAGAAAGAACTGGTGACTTGGGGAGAGGAAATGAAGTTATGGCTTAACTTTGACTTGAAGGTCAAGACCACATGGCAGCAGAGGACATGAAGAGACGGCATCCACAGATGCTGAAAGGTGTGGTCCGTAGGACTTGGTGACTGCAGATTGTGAGGCGTCAAGAAAGACCTAAGCTTTCTCACCAGGTCGTTAGGCACTTGGATAGGTGATGAGGGTTAGAAATGCAGGTGGGGAATGGTGATGGATCGTGGCGTTTGAATCGCCTTCGGAGTCCAGGTGAACTTAGGAGAGGCTGGGGATTCCACTCAGACAGCACACAGGTCCCACGTGGAGCTGCGTGGCATGGGTGAGATCGCAAGCTTGTGGATGTAGAACTACAGGGCAAACCGAGAAGCCTTCAGCTTACGGCGGGAAGATTAGCGACTGCTAAGGGGCACGCGGGGAAAGCAGTCGTGCTGGAGAAGTCGTGAAGGAGGCAGGGACAGAAAACTTGAAGAACAAAATGGTAAAATCGAATATGCAGAGTGTCTCATGCTTCAGCGAGTCCAAGGGGAAAGAGCGCAGTGGTCTTTGGAGTCGGGGATCGAGGTTTCACTTCTAACTCGTACTAGAGCAGCGCCGTTGGGTTGGTAGAGACAAAGCCTGGTGGTGAAAGCTGGACAAGCGCGTGTGCGGTGAGGGGCTGAAGGCAGCGGGCGTGTGAACTGTCGGGGTTTCTTGTTTCTCTTTTATTTTTTCTCATTTTGTCGAACTGTCGATGTTTTGGTAGATGGCAAAGCCAGTTATTCTGTAGCGTGCAACTTGGTTTCAGAGCACAGCCTGAGCTTTTGTTTTGCTAATGTATAATGAGAATTTTGTTAAAATAAACATTTCTATAATTTCAGTTGTTCTAAAGCGCTTCTTTCCTTAGTCCTTTGCAGCCTAACATCTTGCCATCAGGTGACTTGCGGTTTAGTGAACCCAGTAATGAAGCGGCACAGAGGGTGAGAGGAAACCGGCTGTGAGATGATGGGGGACAGGGCTTCATGTGCATGTGTCTGTGGATTTGGCTCTTTTGAAACGTTTATTTCTCCAGCTTTATCCATAGAATAAGAAACTATGAAAGGAAGGGGATTTGTCAAGTAGTTGGCTAGAAAAGGATGTTGACAAAAGAAGGAAGGAGGAAATACAGAACCAGGATAAAAATGAAAAGCAAACAGGCAAGCTATTCTGCTACCAAAAGTGCATGGTTGCATAGTCCTTTAGTTACTTTTCTCTGCCGTTTACCCTTTTCCCCTGCCTGCCCTGAGGCTTTCCAGGTGTAAGAGCCCATGCTTTGGAATCTCTGAGGTGTGTTTCTATTTCACCACTATCTGCTGTTTGGTGGGCAAATTTTTTTTTTCCCTAATGTTTCTTCATTTATCTGCATCGGAGCATCGGATCTTTTTTTTTTTTTTTTTTTTTTTTTTTTTTTGGCC